AATATATGTTTGTTTTGAAAATAAATAAATAAATAAATAAATATTTTTTTAAAAAAAAGATGTATCCACAAATAAGAACAATGTTTTTCAACACTATATCCTGACATAAAACTTTCCTGAAAAGGGTCAAGATCAGAGGAGGGTTCCTACCAGTTTGGACCGGTTTGGCCGAACCGGTAGTGGTTTGCTGGCCTGGGTCGCCGGAACCAGCAGCGACCCAGGCTTACCACGCCCCCAAACTGGTTCCCTGGTCAGTGTGGCATGTTTTTTTTTCATTTTAAAATATTCTGCGCATGCGCAGACCTATTTAAGGGCAACTGCGCTCACGCAGAGAGCCCATGTTTGATGCGCATGTGAGCAAAGCAAGCGTGCACGCCCAAAATTGCGCGCACACTGAACCAGCAGTAATGCCGGAAGCAACCCATCCCTGGTCAAGATAATCTATTTCTTATAGATCTTTGCTCAAAAGGAGAAGTGGAAAATTGCCCAATATCACTGGATCGATTTCTTAAGGTGAGAGCACATCACCACTTTTTCAGGCAGAGAGAATCCCATTATTCAAAGATGAAATCACTTCCACTTAGTTCCCTCCAGAAGATTTTTCCCAGATGACCTTGACTAGGTAAAAGAGGCTGAGAGTGAGCACGCTAAAAGCCCTGAAAATTCCCTCTGCTTTCTCAAGTTTTGCAAAAATAAACTACTGCCAGTTAATGGATGAAAAATTGTCCTAGTAACCCCCAGTCAGAGTCCGTTTTAGAAGAGATCTGAGAGATTTTATTCATAAAGGGCCTAGCATAATCTTTGCAAAGTACTATGCAATTGCCTTTAGGATATAGTATTCCTCTGACCATGGAAATGACCAACTTAAATATGCTAATCAGAAACACATCAAAGAAATAGTGGAGCTCCAAGTCAAAATAATTTGGATGCAAGATACATTCTTCAAAAACAATGAATTTTCTTTTAAGCAGAGTGAAAGTAGCCCCTAGAGCAGTGGTTCTCAACCTGTGGGTTGGGACCCCTTTGGGGGGTCGAACAACCTTTTCACAAGGGTTGCCTAAGACCATCGGAAAACACATATTTTCGATGGTCTTAGGAACCGAGACACCAATTTTATGGTTGGGGGTCACCACAACATGAGGAACTATATTAAAGGGCATTGGGAAGGTTGAAAACCACTGCCCTAGAGGTATTAATGGAAAAGTTCTTTTTTGAACTTTTTTTTCATTACCATGTGAATGAAATCTGAAAATAAAATCTAGGTAATATAGGCATTTTCACTCATTCAAAATGGAGGATTAATTTTATTAATTAATATTTATATTAATTAATATTTTATAATTAATTGTATTAATTATAAAATTCTGCTAGAATTTTGCAGTTCTCCCAACAATCATCTTCGTATTATACTACAATGATGATTTTTCCTGACCTGCTTCTTGTACATAATTAACAAACACAAAAATTCAGTGAGGAAAGAGTTTTTCTTTTATACAGCAATTTTTGTTTATTGCTAGATATGATACATGAGCATTATCTGGAAAAAATACCTCTATGTGGTCTCTTAAGAGTTAACATCTGCTTGATAATATATAATCAAATAATCAAAAACAGACTTGGGAGCAAATATATATCTTTTCAAGTGGGGATCAGAAAAAACAGATAGATTGAATAAATAATAAATTTATAAATGTAATTTTAATTGCAGGTGGTCTCCATGACTAAAGCATAAGTATTTATTATGTTGCAGAATATACCTCTGAAGTTCAGTTTTCTTTTAGTTTTTTTTAATTTTTGAAAATGTTTGTTTCTATATTTTTATATTAATATTTAGGCATTTTGTTATTTTTCTAAGCACTTTT